AAATTATAGGGTATATGCACACAAACGGTTGCTCAATCAGCATCACTCTATAACTATGTTATCTGTATCATGATTGTATTCACTGTTGTTGAAATTTATATTTAATTTCATTCGCAGTACTACATGTTTACTTTGATTTGACATAGTATTAATTTACCATGCCGTTTATTCGGTGTTATTTACAAAACCAAGTTGTTTTGTCTGCGAGTGAAATGAAATATAAAATTCGACAATACAATCATAAAACAGCCAACACAATAATAGAGTATTCCTGATTAAGTGTTGATAATTATACTTACCCAAAAGCGCAAGATTCATTATAAATTTCCGTGTAAATCATACAAAAACAAAACAACTCTCTCGTACAGCTTTTTAAAATGGCGGCTAGATACACTCTCGCGAGAGTTTGCGAGACTGGGATTTCTTCTCGTGCGGTAAACGACTTGGCTAGGGGGTCTTGCTACTATTATAAAGGGGAAAGTTATATGACCCTAGCTTCCACGATACGATTAGTATTAAAAAAAATAATCCGATATTCTTGACGGCTTATGCGATTGTTTACAAAACCCAGATAAATATTTATGGTGATCAAGCTACTTTTTGCACAAAACACAGGTCAAACATCGATGAAAATGGTGATTTGTGATTTTTGGTTACATGCTTATTGTTGTCAAAACTTATCAGGATATAAAATATTGTTATATAAAATATTGTATGAAATTTATTCCATAATTTTTATTTTTGCATTCCAAATAACTATATTTTACTGGAAAAAGCATACGAAAAGTCAATGTGTCATAATAAAAAGTTATGTGACACGTCTATTTATTCTATTCTATATTTATTCTAATTGTCAATTATTTAAATAATAATGAATTCCCAATCCGTAATATTAAATTAGGAGAAGGGTCTATGGTAAGATAATGTACGAGGCGAAGTCGAACACATTATTCCATCCGGGTCCTTCTCCGAATCCCATACGACGCTATAGTATAATTTGTTATTGTTGTTATGTATCACAACCATCAGAATTTTGTTGTTAAAATTAATTCACGTGAGAATAGAAATTTACAACATCACAAAAACCTCTAATTCTGATAGCGATGATTTCTAAATTCTTTTGGATCCTCTAGATCCCATCAATTGTTGATTTATTTACTGTATTTTCATTAATTTGTTATTTATTTGTAGTTATTAGACTTTTTAATTTATAGTTATTTTAGTTGTATTTCTTTCATT